AGCCTGCATTCACACAGGTGCAGAGGGGAAGCCGCATGCGATTTGGACAGGAATCATATTCCTGTTCAAATCGCAATGCTAATCAAGTTGCGTCAGTTAATGAAGGCCATAGACCAGCAATGGGCAAACTACGGCCCGCGGGCCGTATACGGCCCGGCAGACCTTTTAATCCGGCCCGCGGAGCTAGGCTCCCGCTAGGCTTCTCTCACAGTCCGCCCTGAAGACCGATGTAGCATGAAAATCTGTCTCCTATGAGGATCTGTCCCCCTCGACGTATCTGCGCATGTGCCGGAGATCGCCGATCGGCTGCTAATGCCTGAAACTGGCACATGCGCAGATACGTCGAGGGGGACAGATCCTCATAGGAGACAGATTTTCATGCTACACCGGAACGGCGCAGGAACACGGCGAGAGGAACGCGCGGAGCAAAGGTAAGTGAATTGACACAGGGGGGACTTGGGGACTTAATATTGAGGATGAATTAATATGGGGAATTAATTACTATAGGGGGGATGAACTACTATATGGGGGATGAATTACTATAGGGGGGATGAATTACTATAGGGGGGATGAATTACTATGGGGGATGAATTACTATATGGGGGATGAATTACTATATGGGGGATGAATTACTATGGGGATGAATTACTATATGAGGGATGAATTACTATGGGGGATGAATTACTATGGGGGATGAATTACTATATGGGGGATCAATTACTATATGGGGGATGAATTACTATATGGGGAATTAATTACTATAGGGGGGATGAATTACTATAGGGGAGATGAATTACTATATGGGGGATGAATTACTTTGGGATGAATTACTATAGGGGGGATGAATTACTATATGGGGGATGAATTATTATGGGGGATGAATTACTACATGGGGGATGAATTACTATATGGGGGATGAATTACTATATGGGGGATGCATTATTATATGGGGGATGAATTACTATGGGGGATGAATTACTATATGGGGGATTAATTACTATGCTTACTATGGGGGAATATTACTATACTTACTATGGATGACACATACACATCATTCATCTACTCTTGGTCCGGCCCCCGGGTCCAATATATGAACCCATTGCGGCCCTCAAGTCAAAAAGTTTGCCCACCCCTGCCATAGATGGTTCGTTTATCGGCCGATTTTTCATCCGAAAAACGAAACATCATTCGTTCTGTAAACCGATGTTGCCTCTAATGATTGTGAATATCGGCCTTTTTCACACATTTTCCAGCATGACTGATAAACGAAATCAGGAGGAACATAGGCCGATGCCATTGCCCCACTAACAGTGCGAAAATTAGACGATTATTCTTTCGAACAAACGAACCGTCTATGGCCTGCATACCGCAAAGTATCGGTTAAGATATCATGAGTGCTCTTGGCACCGATATCGGTATTGGTGCATCCCTAATGCAAACCACAAAAAAATCTTTTCAATTGCATATTAAAAAGTGTTTTTAGAATTATATTTCTACTTTTTTGTGTCGGAGTGAAACTTAAAAGTCCCCAGTTCTCCATGGTCTCCTCCCCCTTTTCTGGGGGGGGGGGTTATTTATGGAAATGATCATTGTGTTACTGTATTTACTAGTTTTGGGGAATGGGGCCATTGTACTGTAAGGGACAAGAACTGCCACCCAATGTTTGTTGGAGATAAAGAGCAGCGTGTTCATGATAATAGATACAGGTTTTGTAAAATGTTATGCTACTGTGACTTGTCATGATAACACTTTAACTTCACATGGTATTACTGTGACTTGACATGATGATACCGTGACTTGCCATGAAGATACCATGACTTGCCATGATGATACTATGGCTTGTCATGATAATACTGTGACTTGTCATGATAATATTGTGACACGCCATGATGATACTGTGACTTGTCATGATATTACTGTGACTTGCCATGATAATACTGTAACTTGCCATGATATTACTGTGACTTTTCATGATGATACTATGGCTTGTCATGATAATACTGTGGCTTGTCATGAAGATATTGTGCCTTGCCATGGTTATACTGTGACTTGCCATGATAATATTGTGACTTTCCGTGATAATACTGTGACTTGCCATGATGGTATTGTAATTTGTCATGATATTACTGTGACTTATCATGATGATACAGTGACTTGCCATGATATTACTGTGACTTGCCATGATGATGCTATTACTTGTTATGAAAATACTGAGACTGGTCATGATAAATATTGTGACTTGCCATGATATTACTGTGACTTGCCATGATGGTACTGTGACTTGACATAACGATATTGTGACTTGTCATGATAATATTGTGACTTGCCATGATGATATTGTGACTTGCCATGATAATACTGTGGCATGGCATGATAGTACTGTGACTTGCCTTTATATTACTGTGACTTGCCATGATATAACTGTGACTTGTCATGATGATACAGTGACTTGCCATGATATTACCGTGACTTGCCATGATGATACTATTACTTGTTATGAAAATACTGAGACTTGTCATGATAATATTGTGACTTGCCGTGATATTATTGTGACTTGTCATGATATAACTGTGACTTGCCATGATAATACTGTGGGATGGCATGATAGTACTGTGACTTGCCATTATATTACTGTGACTTGCCACGATATTAATGTGACTTGCCATGATGATATTGTGACCTGCCATGATATTAATGTGACTTGCCATGATGATATTGTCACCTACCATGATAATACTGTGGCATGGCATGATAGTACTGTGACTTACCATTATATTATTGTGACTTGTCATGATAATATTGTGCCTTGTCATGATAATTCTGTGACTTTTCATACAAATACTGTGACTTGCTATGGTGATACTATTACTTGTTATGATAATACTGTGATTTATGAGAATACTGTAACTTGTCATGATAATGCTATGATTTGACATGATGACAGTATGATCTATCATGACATTGTGACCTGTCCTGAATGTCTTCATGCAGATATGTGAAGTTACAGAGAGGTACCCTGTGTGCAGTAAAATGTGCCCCTTATGGCCAGAGGTGATCTTAATCTCTACCTATGAAATCCCAGCACAGCGTAATCCTTGACCACACTGAATGGGGAGCATTGTTTGGGTGGCTCATTATATTCAAGGGAATTTTTTCCCCGCAGGAGCAAATTGGATCGTGCTTTGCTGTTTTTTTGCCTTCCTCTGGATCAACTGTGGGTATAGGATTATAACTTTTTTTATGGTTGAACTGGATGGGCGTGTTTTTTTCAGCCAGACTAACTATGTGACTATATTTATATATTTCCAAAATTAAAAATCAAATGATAAAAATGTAAGCATTATTTTGTGAAAATAAAAACTGTCCTCCGAAGGAGATGAAAGGCAAAAGAAAGCCCCAAAAATCTAACAAGTTGCCACAAGTGGTCTAATGCCTTCCCATTGCAGTTCCTATCTGATCGATTGTATGGATTACTACGTGCCGCCTATTTACTCTCCTTTAATAAATGACTCCTGAACAGTGATCCCTTTCCTGCAGGGGGGAGGCGAGGCGGCTTTACATCTGGAATCAATATACATAAGAAAGACATTTATCACTTGACTGGGAACTGATGACATCAACAATGTAGCCGATGACACAATGAGATGGTTATAGTCTGGGCAGGGCTTGGAGAAGGGGGTAAGCAGTGCCAATTGGCCCAGGTCTCCATTCACAAGGGGCCTATCCCAGCCAATGGTGCATGGTGCTCCACTCTAAAGAGACAAAGACCTTCCACATTCAGGGTAAAAAGTCACTGAAGAGTAATGGGGTCCCCCCGACCCAATTATACTCCTCTAGCCATCACTTCCCCACTGGTCTTTCCTTCATTGTAGCTGGCACCAGAATCATTGAGACATGGGCATGGTGACTGTCTATGGGTCAGAGGGGCCCCTTTATACAGATGCTGTCCCTCTGTCTTTGATGGAGGAGCGACCCTTGTTGTATGCCAATACCACACCTACCACATGTGCAGCTTCCCAAGAGCCCATGCACATTTATGAATTGTGGCAATGCATAGCAATTCACCTGCTCTATGTGGGGTGCATTGAGGTGTCATTGAGGTGTCATTCATAGTCATTCATGGCACCCTATGCAGTGTACAGTAGAGCCCGTTACCGAAGACCATAGTGATCACCACATTTCTAAGAGAATGAAAGAATGAGAAATGCTGACCACTGTTGGGGACTGATCAACCGAATGGGTTTAAAAACATTGTTTTCATTTCTATTGTTTCTTTATCTTTTGGCCTCTTATTTCCTCCCCATTCAGCCCAAAGTACTTGGATGGCAGAACGTTTAGATGTCAACTGACATTCCTTCAAGTGGTTGGCTTGTGCCTTCACAACTGACATACACCTAAGGCAGCCTTTCTCAACCTTGTTAAGATGGAGGAACACTTGAAATAACTTTCGGATCTCAATGAGCTCTGCTGATATTTACTATATCCACAGCTCACAAATTATTAGGGTGGAGGTTAGTGGGAACAATGCTCCTTACATTGTGGTCAGTGGGAAGAATGCTCCTTACATTGGTGATCAGTGGGAAGAATGTCCCTTACATAGGCGGTCAGTGGGAAGAATGCCCCTTAGATTGGTGGTCAGCAGGAAGAATGTCCCTTAGATTGGTGGTCAGCAGGAAGAATGTCCCTTAGATTGGTGGTCAGTGGGAAGAATGCCCCTTAGATTGGTGGTCAGCAGGAAGAATGTCCCTTAGATTGGTGGTCAGCAGGAATAATGTTCCTTAGATTGGTGGTCAGTGGGAAGAATACCCCTTAGATTGGTGGTCAGTGAGAAGAATACCCCTTAGATTGGTGGTCAGCAGGAAGACTGCCCCTTAGATTGGTGGTCAGCAGGAAGAATGTCCCTTAGATTGGTGGTCAGCAGGAAGAATGTCCTTAGATTGGTGGTCAGTGGGAAGAATACCCCTTAGATTGGTAGTCAGTGGGAAGAATGTCCCTTAGATTGGTGGTCAGTGGGAAGAATGCTCCTTAGATTGGTGGTCAGTAGGAAGAATACCCCTTAGATTGGTGGTCAGTGGGAAGAATGCTCCTTACATTGATGGTCAGTGGGAAGAATACTCCTTACATTGGTAGTCAGTGGGAAGAATGCCCCTTACATTGATGGTCAGTGGGAAGAATGTTGCTTACATTGGTGGTCAGTGGGAAGAATGCTCCTTACATTGGTGGTCCGTGGGAAGAATGTTCCTTACATTGATGGTCAGTGGGAAGAATGTTGATTACATTGGTGGTCAGTGGGAAGAATGCTCCTTACATTGGTGGTCAGTGGGAAGAATGTTCCTTACATTGGTGGTCAGTGGGAAGAATGCTCCTTATATTGGTGGTCAGTGGGAAGAATGTTTTTGACACTGGTGGACAGTGACAAAAATACTCCTTACATTGATGATGAGTGGGAAAATTGTCCCCTAGATTGATGGTCAGTGAGAAGAATGCTGCTTACATTGGTGGTAAATGGGAAGAATGCTCCTTACATTGGTGGTCAGTGGGAAGAATGCTCCTTATATTGGTGGTCAGTGGGAAGAATGTTTTTGACACCCGTGGTCTAATGTATGCTAAAGAACAAGACTACAAGAGAGAGGAACACAATCTTACAGCGCCCCTAGTGGACAGATGTTGACATGTCAATAGAAGAATACATTTAATTGTCGTGGAAGATCTGAGATAGCCTGCTATGAATTTTACAAAAACAATAAAAAAAAATGTTCTCTACAAGTCAACTTTGATTGTTTTCAACACTTCCTGTTATCCAGAAGATCCTGACACAATCACTGCTCATATTTTCAGCAATTGCTTCCCCAATGACCATGGGTGTCTTGACCGATGTTGCGTGTACATGCCTCTATCGTTTTTTTTGGATATTTTGGTCCAAACATGATGCAAATTGGCAAAAACCTCAAATCCAAATCTGAACACCACTGAAGTCAATAGTGACTGAATTTGGGTGGGCCGTACATGCCACACTCCCGCCTCTAAATGACAGATTCCAGGCTGCGGTAATTTATAGATCGGTTAGTGATGGGTAATCGTGATTGACGTGGATTACGTTGCAGGATGCTGTGATTGACGTGGATTACCCTGCTTGACAGCGTAATTGATGTGGAGTACCTCGCTGATGTGGATTACCATGCTGGACGCCTTGACTGACACTGGATTTACTCGGGGGGGACATTAATAAACTAAATTTTTAAGCCAGTAAGAATGTGGTTGTGTTTTATGTACTTAAAGGACTATGTTGCTGTTGGTTTAGGTGTTTATTTTAACCTTTAACTCTTTGGGCTCATGCCTATTGGGCACTTTTTTGGCATACAACATGTATTTCTGTGCCAGGGATACACATCCGCTGTACAGCCAACCATAGTAATCAATTGCTGTATTGCATCACAGGTTTATGATTCTACTTGTTTTAACCCACGCATGCAAAAAGTCGTAGCCCCCCAGACACTATATGCATCCATTGTTGTAAGGTACTGCAGAAGTAGTGGCGTAAGCTGCTGTACAACCGCATACAGCCATTCATTACTATGGTGGGCTGTACGCATCACAACCACAGCAAACTCTGTACTCCTGCGCTGGGGATGGACTCAGCAGAGGCTAAGATAACAATTCAGATATCCTGGAATATGCACTCCTTGCTGCCCTCAACGGACCAAGGTAATCCAAAGTCACTGGATACAAAAGAAAACAAAAAGAGGGCGCACCGGCCTAGTGCATTATCGTAAAAAGTATTTATTAAAAGGATAAAAAGTAAGTATCATACTCACAATGGACATATAAGACAAAGGCACATCACAATAAACAGCGGTGTCCAATCCACACTGCATCTAAATGGAACCCTGGACTTCCAACTTGCTAACGCGTTTCAAGGACTCAGCCTCTTCCTCAGAGCTCTGAGCTGAGTCCTCAAAATGCGTTAGCCAGTTGGAAGTCCAGGGTTCCATTTAGATGCAGTGTGGATTGGACACCGCTGTTTATTGTGATGTGCCTTTGTCTTATATGTCCATTGTGAGTATGATACTTACTTTTTATCCTTTTAATAAATATTTTTTATGATAATGCACTAGGCCGGAGTGCCCTCTTTTTGTTTTCCTTTGTATCCAGGGCTGTACGCATCACCTGTGTGACCCATAGATGCAGAAATACACCTACAATTTACATTATATGGCCTAATGGGCAACACAGTGGCTAAATGGTTATCACTTCCACCTAGCAGTGCTAGGATCATTGGTTTGAATCCCAACCATAGCACCACCTGCGTGGAGTTTGCATGTTCTCCCTGGCCTTGCGTGGGTTTCCTCCCAAAGACATGCTGGTAGGTTAATTGGATCCTGTCTAAATTGGCCCTAGTATATGAATGTAAGTTAGGGACATTAGATTGTATGCCCCTTGAAGTTTAGGGACTGATATGAATGTACAATATACATGTAAAGCTCTGCCGTTACATAAATGAAATAACGAATGCACTCATGTCCATGAAGGCATGGTGAAAATGGGTGAGAGGTACTAATTTACCCTTATGCTTGTTCCTCTGGGAGGGGCAGATACAGTATCTGGTTACCCCCTTATTTTAAAGGGGCTTGTAGGCAGATGTAGTTCCACCTCCCTGCCTAGGTGGCGTTGTTACGGCAGCCGCTGTGCAGAGAGGATGGAGTAGGAGAGGAACTTCTGTTCCTCTAAGGCCTCCATAGGCATCGTCAGGGGAGCAGCCATTGAATTGAATACTGCTGCCTTGGATGAGCTTGGTGGCCATCTTTAGTGAGGGCAGTACTAATATATAGCACTGTCCCACTGCAGTTGACATGCATTTGCGAGGGGGTTAGGTCAGGGACAGGAACCCGCTGGTGGGGTACATTGTGTCTAGTACAGGGAAAGGTTCCGGAGGAGGAGGGACAGTGCAAGGACCTTATACCAGAGCTGCTACTTTGGACCTCCTTTCTTCTGCCTCTCAGGTGCCATGGTCACCGCACCGCCTACCAATGACCTCAAATGCTGCCGGTTATCGCAAACCTGCTAACGTGTTCTACAGTATTGAGACTGTGCACTACAAGTCCTTCTGTAAGGTACTGCCATATGGGTTCAACCGTGATATTCAGGCCCTGTTGCCAACTTGCTGGAACGTTGAATTTATATATTGTGCTGCATTCTTTGGCCTCTGTGTGCATTTACTCCACTCTGGGTACCAACCATATTGAAGGCTTCCAGATTCCACAATAAGTCTTCCCCATATTACCACCACTTCCCTTTCGGGGGGACACAAAGGCAAAGATAAGGGTGCTTTTTGCAAGGTACCCCCCGATGTTGAAAGGCTGAAAGGAGGAGAGGAACTCTTGTTCCTCTCTGGCCTCTATAGGCATTGTCAGGAGAGCAGCCATTGAATTGGACACTGCTGCCTTGGTTGACCTCGGTGGCCATCTTTAGTGAGGGCAATACTAATATATAGCACTGTCCCACTGCAGTTGACACACATTTGTGAAGTGGTTAGGTCAGGGACAGGAACCTGCTGGTGGGGGACATTGTGTCTAGTACAGGGAAAGGTTCAGGAGGAGGAGGGACAGTGTAAGGACCTTACACCAGAGCTGCTACCTTGGACCTCCTCTGCCTCTCAGGTGCCATGGTCACCGCACCGCCTACCAATCACCTCAAATGCTGCCAGTTATCGCAAACCTGCTGATGTGTTCTACAGTATTGAGACTGTGTACTATGAGTCCTTCTGTAAGGTACTGCCTGTACTGGGTTCAACCGTGATATTCAGACCCTGTCGCCAACTTGGTGGAACGTTGAGTTTATACATTGTGCTGCATTCTTTGGCCTCTGTGTGCATTTACTCCACTCTGGATACCAACAGTCTTGAAGGCTTCCAGATTCCACAATAAGTCTCCCCCATATTACCACCACCTCCCTTTCAGGGGGACATAAAGGCGAGGATAAGGGTACTTTGCAAGGAACTCCCCGATGTTGAAAGGCTGAGAGGCAAGTGACCTTGCATGGTCCGGGAAGGGGGGAGGGGGGACATGCTTGCAGCCCTCAGTTTCCTGGCCATCCAGGCTGCATTTCTGGGTAAGGCTCTGGTCAGAATAATAAAGCAGCATAAAACATTTGTTATATTGCACCTTCTAAGATGTGATGACTGCATTAGTTTTCCTTTTTTAGGCTTCCTTTCTCATATTTTCATCTGGTGATCTAGCCAGCATGTCTGTTGTTTTTCAGCAGAACAAGCTGCCCTGCAGATGTAACAATTAGAGTGTTGAGGCAAACCATTTACCACTGACAGCGGTGCTTACGATGATCAGCTTTTATTTATGTAAAACCTCCCAAATAATAAAAAAAAACTGCTGCTGTAACTGCAGTGTGAGCTGGATTTCGGCGTCAGTTTGTTAGTGTATCTAAATCTGCTAGTCCATTTAACACTCCCCTCCCCCCAGGCTGACAATTCTGCTGTCAAAAGGTGCTGTCAGGGGAGGACTGACAACTCATGGGGCCCCTGGGCAATAGGGGATCACAGGGCCCCTGTGTCCTTGCCCAAACTCAAAAACGCCTATGAAAAAGGTACCAGGGGCATCTCATGGGGCACCCTACTGACCCCGGGCTCTCGGGCAGTGCCAGAGTTTCCAAATGGTCAGTCCGCCCCTGGGTGCTGTGCTCCTTCATCCAGAGTAGGGACACTCTAATACAGGAGGTGTGGTACTGGCCAGATCACCAGTGTGCCCTGATGATCAGTGTAGCCCCAGCAGTGCCACCTGTCAGTGTTCATCAGTTTCACATCAATGCCACATATCAGTGCCTACCAGTGCATATCAATGCCATATATCAGTGCCAACTATCACTGCCTGTCAGTGCCACCTATCAGTGCCGCCAGCCAGTGCTGCCAGTCAGTGCCGCCTATTAGTGTCAGTCAGTGCCACCTATTAGTGTCGCCTATCAGCGGCAGTCAGTGTCACCTATCAGTGCCATATATGAGTGCTGCCTTTCAGTGCCCATCAGTGATGCCTATCAATGCCCATCAGTGCCACCTACCAGTACCCCCTCACCAGTGCCACCTATCAGTGCCCATCGGTGAAGCCTATCAGTGCCCATGGGTGCAGCCTCATTAGTGCATATCAGTGAAGGAGAAAAATCACTTATTTACACAATTTTATAACAAAAACTAAGAAAAAATTTTTTTTTTCAAAATTTTCAGTTGTTTTTGGTTTGTTTAGCAAAAAATGAAAAACCCAGAGGTGATGAAATACCACCAAAAGAAAGCTCTATCTGTCTAAAAAAAAAATGATAAAAATTTCATTTGAGTACAGCGTTGCATAACCGTGCAATTGTCATTCAAAGTGTGACAGAGCTGAAAGCTGAAAACTGGCCCGGGCAGGAGGGGGGTAGGCAAGGG